CTTTCGGGTTACCGGTGGTCCCAGATGTGTAGGATATGGTGCACAGATCGGTCGATTTGGGGGGAACTTCCGGGTGATTCTTTTGGGCGCCCAGCCGCTCAACGTCGTCGAACTTGAGCAACTCGACGCCACGGTTCTTCGCCCTCTGATTCGTCGTCTGTCTTGTTTCTTTTATCACCACCAATTTTCGTAGGCATCTGGAATGGAAAGTGATTGAAAAATAATTAAAAAAAAAAAACAAAAATAAGAAAAAGTAAACTAACAATAATAATAATAATAATAATTATAATTTAAGAATTTTTAATATTGAAATTGAATATATCGCAGTTACTTCTTTTTTTTTTTATATAGTTTTTATTAATTAAGTTGAATTTATAATAATAATAAAAAAATAAAAATAAAAGAAAAATCATGTATCGTGCCAAAATGTTTCAGGACATTGCACGGAAATGTTTAAATTTGTCTTCAATACCGCGTGAGATTTGTAAATTGTGTCGTGTGTCGATGTTGTAGAAAATACATTTATATTCATTCATGGCATGCTGCCACTGAAACATACCAAACATCACACGATCCCAAGTGATCTGAACTTTAACTTGTATCGCTGTTTATTTGAAGAGCACAATTAAAATGCGATATCTTCGTTCGAATTCTTCTTTTTTCTTATTTTCTATTGCTAATTATATATATATTGTAATAATAATATTAATTTTTAATAATATTATTTTTACGTTTCTACACAAAATGAAAATTTAAAAAATAGTTATCTTTAAACTTGAAAATTAACAAATATTACAAATTTCGTTATTTCTTCTAAAAAAAAATAAATTAAGAAAGATTTTCTGAATTTACATATACATCTCATAAATTATATATCTTTTGCAAATTCTTATTCATTCAGAATCTTATTCAATTATCAATAAAAATTCTAAAGTCACAATTTTTTTTTTTTTTTGTATTTCACAAAAGCCATTAAAACACTTTTTGCATCGTTCGAACAATTTTACACGAGAAAAATCAAATACCTTGGCGCTTTGTCGAGAAGCAAATTGCACTTGGTATCGTTCTCGACCACGACCAAATTGATCTCAGCTTGATTAATGATGAAGGCACACGCGTCAGGGCCCAGTGTGTCGTATAAAGGTACTACTACCAAAGAGTACGTGTAACAAGCCTGCTCCGTGAGGATCCATTCTGGACAGTTCTGACTGTAGAGACCGATGAGCGTGTGCGATCCTGGCATCAGCCCCAGAGACACTAGGCCAGAACCAAAATTCTTCGCCCTGAGCAGGGTCTCGTTGTAATGTAGCCATTGATATGGTTTGTTTGGTCCATCCCGCCAGCCAAGACAGGGACCGTTGTCTGCACACATCACAAAAATCAGTCAATCGGATTATCGTTTAAAAATAATCAATTTTTAATAAGATTACAATTTTATGAAGGGATCAAATTTCTTTTAATGGAATTAAAAATGTGCCGCACGACGATGTAATTTGAATCATATGTTTATGAAGAGAGATTTGAAACGATTACACGATGGTTTCTACTCTATTCTTGAATTTTAATGCATTGTGGAAATGTAATTTTCTTTTTTTATCTTTCCTCGCGTATTGCATTTCAACGTAATAATAACAATATTATAAAAATACGTGTTTACCAGATGCTTCCAAAGCATAATTGAGCGTGCACGAAAACAAGATAGGATTGAAACATTAACTTAATAATTTCGAGATAAAACTTGAAGAAACGTGTGTTTTCGAGCGTGACGCCTCGCAATATATTAGTCCAGGAATTTTAATTGTTGCAACACGCCAACTTGGTTAAATTCTCCGAGAGAGAATTGGAAAATAATGAAAATAAAGATATACGAAGAAGCAATAATAAAAAAAAATATAATTGATCTATTTTTTTATAATAACGATATATATTTAAATACTTAAATATTCGACTAAATTTAAATTTAAATTACTAATATTATTTTAATTAACTTGAACGTTTTTAAATTAAATGATACATGAAGAAATTAAAGCATTTATAATTGTAAAATTTTTTGAAGATATACGAATATCATTGAAAATAATCTGGTTGGAAAAGACAAATGTAATAATTTGCCAGAAAAAATATACAACATTTTTTTTAGTAGAATTTATTAATATTCGAAACACATTGTACTGTCAATCCAAATGTGATTCCAAATGAAAAATCTTCAATTTTTGAAAAGAAACATAGAAATCAAATTGTTGAAACATTTTAATGCAATGAATTTTAATGCAAACTATAATCTACAAAAAGATTTAAAATAAAAATAATTATTTAATGAATTTTTTATTTTTACCATATTTCAAATGAATTATGGAAAAATTTTTCCATAATTTATGTTTCATCATAGGTTAGAAACGAAAAGTTACATCATAAACAAAACAAAATTGTCGATAATATTCGATTCGAAATCAATTTTTATTCGCCATCGCATTATTTTCACCATCCACTTTAATTCTCGAGAATGTACATCGTGCAACCGAGGACCTCGATTTTAGTCGCATCGTGAGACAAATTTCACCGTGTGTACATAGGTGCCGCTACATACGGTCGTATACACGTGTATAGTATGCAACTCAGAAGCCGACTATAATTCAGACTTACTAGACTCCTTGGCGCCTTTGCGGAAACCGTCGTACAGAGTCCTCGTGTCCTCGTACAAGAAGCTCACGAACTTTCCCTCCTTGCTATCCTTGTAAAACCTCGACACTTTGATCAAGTCGGTGCCCTGCAAAACACATACGTTTGCGCACGTGAAATCCTTCCTATACCCGTCATATTACGTAACGGAATGCCAAGTGCAAATCTAAGTATAGCGAGTGCGCGACAAGTATTATCGCACGGATAGGCGCACACAATACAGGGAGTAGAAATCTATAAGAACCGCCTCGGGCCACGGTGGTTATCAGCGTATCCACTTATCAGGAAACTACCATGTTCGACGTTGTTTCCCACTATCCCATCACGCGACAATACATCGTCGCCAAGTCGCTTGTGCAACAAGTCTGCCCACCCACACGCGCATGCCACTTCAAGCACCGATCAGGCTGGCCCGTGGATTTC